CAAAAGCTCCATTTCCACATCCCTCTGTGAGCCCCATACCTCTAGCAAACTAAGGCCACTCAAGCAGTAAGAGTCACAAGGGGAAAGTTACATCCAGAGGTTTCTAAATAGCAAATTTGTTATTTTTTAAGAAATTTATGAGGTCTATAGAAAACACCTAAAACAAGTACCATAATGTTTCTAGGAAGAAATGCATCCTGTTTTGCCAGCCAGAAGAATGACCATTAGCCATATAACTCATCCTTCTTACCATTAACCAACACTACAGAAGGACTCAGCTTTCCTTTGGGAAATGTGGAGAATGGTATAGAGTGTCTATGTCTATGTCTCCTGCAGAATAAGGAGTTAAGAATGAACTCTACCTCTTACCTCATTTTTCATGAGACTGTTTTTTTGAGACCTCTAGTTATATTAGGCTCTTTTCTATACATGGCTGCCAGAAAAACATTATTTTAATCAGGTCTTCCCCAATGACCATTTACATGGAGGTACTGAAAGAATCTAAATTTGACTTTTTGGTGTGTTACACCTCAGCTCCAGGTTTCTTCTCTTTGTATAATAAGTGATAATAAATTGACAAAGATTCATATCTGAGTTATGTAGTTAGGCTAGAAGATTACTTGGGAAAAAAAGATATGTCACTAATTCTGAGCCTATGAGGCTGTTCAAGGATAGTAAAAAAAGAAAAACCACTTATATGATATATATCTCACTATAATATTCTTTCAAATTCACTTTAGGCTTATTTTGAATCAGACTAGTTTCTCATTGATTTCCCTGACCCCAAAACACTTACTTCCTGATAAGCAGCAATAAAATATAACATGGCCAAATTCACTGTTTTATACCCCTGAACGACTGAGTTCTAAGATGCTCACATGCTCAGGTGTCCTTAATATGAAATGCTTTGGCGTTAATAGTTAAGACATCTCAAAACATACAGCTTCTGATTTCCTTACCTCTGACCAGTCCAAAGCCACCCACTGAGGCGGACATGGCAGGTTGTTGCAGGACTCTCTTTCAACGGGCCGGTGCGTTAAGCAAGCGCTGGAGTCCAGTGTCTTCTCCTCAGAAGGTCCCATCTTTCTGACGCAGAGCACTGCCCTGGTACGCATCCCGCCGCCGCAAGTCTTGCTACACTCCAACCAATCACCAATGAACCACCTGCAGCAAGAAGTGGGAGAAACACAGAAGAGAATTTCCTCAGTGCAGCCAGAGATTTCCAGCTGAGTGAAGGCACTTTTGTCAACGGACTACATCCTTTTCCTAGAACAGCTGACATTTCAGTGTTGTTGATGTGACAGTGACAAATAGAACTTCTAAGGAAAAAATAACTCACCGTCAGGTGCCTCCTAAACTGTAGTGCACGGGTTTTAGAAGAGGCAAAACTACATTCAAGTAAGTAATGCAGAATGTATTTTTTAACCTCTTTGATTCTTCTCTTTTTTTATTAATTTCTAAAATGAGGATAATGATACAATTGTGAGACTGTTATGAGGATTAAATAAGGCAATATATGAAGCTGCCAGTCATGTGTTATAAATGTTTAACGACTGGCTCTTCATAGGAGGGAGGGGATTCAGGATTTTATGCTAAAACTTAGAGATTTGTTCTGATTCCCAGACATGAATGTCAGGCTCTGTAGGGGATAGAGGGCCTTCCCTTCCTTATGGTGGTAGAGGAGGCTCAGGTGTCCACCCTGAAGGCATGACAGTCTTAAACACCTGCAGGAAGAGCAGAGCCCTGAGCCAGCTCTGTGAAAGCATCAGCTCCTTGCTTTGACCCCTTTACTCCTAAAAATAACTTCTACCCAGCTAAAGAGGGAAGAAACTGAAATATCTTAACAAGGTGAACATCTCTCATTTATGGGTACACCACTCCTTTTCCCTAAAGTCATCAGAGAACTTTCATACATATAACTTCAGTGTGTGTGTGTGTGTGTGTGTGTGTGTGTGTGTGTGTGTAAAACTTCCGCAGGACTCACTTTTGAGACACATTAATTGGTCCAAGGGGTGTGAATTGTGATGCAAATCAGATCAATGACAATTTGGCTTTAGAATTTTTATATTTCAACTAGAGCAAAAGGGACCCCTTTCCTTTCTGGTCACAAAGGTAAGAGCTGCGGGTGGCCTTAAAGAGGAATTAGCTGGTTTGAAGGAATGCAGAGGAGCTAGAGTCCTAATGGTGTGTGCGCTCTTCATTCTAGCCATGCCTCAAGCTCGGTCCATTCCTGTAGTTCCCTGAGACTTGTCCTATAATCCAGCAAACCCTCTTATGTGCTGAAGCTAGCTGAAATTGAAACTGTATTATTTCCAACCAGAGTCCTGGCTGACATATTGTTGTATTTAATTTAATAAATATGTGCTGAATGCCTACTGTGTTCAAGGCATTGTGCTTTGTTTTAGAGAAGAACATAATACCTTGTGTTAGGAAAATGGTTCTCCAAAGTCATGAAAACAGCAATGACGGAACTAGGACTTGATTCCCCATCAGTTGCTATTTCCACCGAATTTCACTTTTAACAACAGCTAAATAGTAGAATCTTGGTCACGTTTTCTTCAATCCATGACTATAAATCATGCAACTATCATCAGTGGATATGCTCATGCGTTTGGGTGGGCAACTAACCAGAGAGAAGAGTCTGAACATTTAAGAACCAATTGCTCACTATTTTAGCAACCTTAGCTCATTGTGCCAGTTTTATATGTGGAAGATGGTACCTTAGTGAAGTCAGAGTATTAGCAGCCTAAATTTGAGCCTGCATTTAGCCAAATATGCCACAATGTCCTTTGTCTATTATTATTTGAATTATCTTTACTTATAGAGGAAAACCAGCAATTAGAGGTATCATAATTAATCAGATTCTCAGCTTCTTGTCAAAATCCAAAAATTTTCAACCTCAAATTGACTTAAAGTATAATAATTTAATCTTAAATTTTAAAAATCTGATATTAACCTTTTTTTTCTAAGTCATTTTCCAGAGAAGGTTTAAAGTGGTTTTCATCTTCTTTCTGTTTTGTTTTCCACAGATGAACATGATTCCATGATGTTAGTACCATTTTTGGTAAAGAGGAAAATGTGTACTGAGAATAATAACTTGCATGCCAGCCATACTGAAACTCTGATTCAATTCGCAACAGTGATTTCATCACCAAGATTAGGGGATAAAACAGAAATGTGTATACTCAGCCACAAAATGTTCAGTCATACCACCTCCAGCCATGATCTCATTAGGTCTCATAATGTAAGAGGGATGGAGGCCCTCAAATTAAACACAGGTGCCCAGAATAACAGCAGTGATTCAGGGGGTGTTGCTGTTCTTTGTTGCACCAGCTCAGGGCCACCTCCGCCTTTTTATTCTCTGTCCTCTCCTTTATTGCCAACCATCTCTTAGCTGAGATGTGTCACTCCAGATTTAACTTGGAATGTACGAAAGTAAAAGTATTAAGCACCCTCCCCATTTCCCTTCTGACTATAACTTTGATTTCAGGCATCATAGTCAGTTTCTGTTGCATCCTTATTGCTCAGAAAATCATCCCTCCCCATGTCTCTCCGAAGGATTAAATCACACTCCAAGTACTTACATAGTTTTGCAACTTTACCACTGCATTTCCTGTTTCAGTCTCTCCACTCCCTTGTCCAGTTGAAGACAGCTTTCTTCACCTGCATTCTCCATGTATTTGACCCTCTGATGACATTCCCCCTACTTCTTTTCCTCCTCTAGATTCGGTGGTAAAAATCTGAACACAAAAGTTCTCTCTGGGAATGTCACTCGCTGAACATTATCGTTATCGCCTGAACAATACTGGAGATGTTTCTCCCTGAGCTGAAGACACGGTGGCCAAACTGTCTTCATCTTCACAAGCTCCCTCATATCCATTAGACACTAACAATTAGTGGATTCATATTTGAGTGTCTGGAATAAAAGTGCTTGGTGCGGCCTATGTAATTTAATTTGCAGTATCTGTACATTAATAGGTCAAACAATAATATTAATGGGAGGAGGAAATAAGAGAGACACTAGAAAAAAACTTTTCCCCAACTTTGGTTAACCAGAATATTTTAAAAGAAAGAACTCATCATAAAACCAGAATATTATTTTTGCTTTTTTAACTTAAAGGGAAATGGCAGAGCACATAAAAATAAATTTATATTAGATATTTGGATTATGAGTGAAAGAGATTGAGAGGTTGAAATGCGTATTGAGATTTTCCAACCTTTATCCCAGAGTCAAGGGTCTAGTTATCAAAACTTTTTATAAATACCACATAGAAAAATGAAAAAGAATCTTCAGAATTTGACCGTAACATCTTTACTCAGAGAGGTTCAAGTATGTAACTATTAACCACTTGTAAATAGTAAAACTTTCCTAGGCTTTAAAATAGTTTTTAGAACAATTTTCAAAACAAGAAGTTGGTTAAAAAAAAAAAGAAAGAAAAGAAGAATTGCTCTTTCCTCAGCTAATTGGCAAGTGAGTCTAATATTAAGCAGAAGCTTCTATGCCCTAACCTTTTCCTAAATAAAAAAAAATCAATGTAATAAACTTCTCTGAAATTGTGGCAATTGAGAATGTGTAGATGAAACAAAATTAGAAGTATTAAAATGCCAGCAGACATTTGATTTGTAACTTAGAAAGTTGGTGATGTCTCGTATAATGGTGTGAACATCACTAGAGATCAGCTACCCTCATCTGTAAAATGATGGGAGTTGGCCTACATGATTTCTATAATTCTTCCTGGGTCTTAAATTTCCGAGTTTTATAGAGGACTCTGATGAATCTTTTTCTAAACTTAACCAATTATACTTGTCTATGGGTGAGGCACAATGAGTCAAATAATTATTAAACATTCTAAAAGATACTATTAAATTAAGCCTAGCCCCTTGGTAAAAATCTCTCCCCAGCCACAGAATCCTTTAGCACTTTTGCTTATAACTCTCTAATTGCACTTCGCATATTTTGTCTTGTGCTATAATTATTTTTATATGAATTTGCCCAGTTGTCCTTAGAAAAGGAACCATTTTGCCCAGTGTGCCTTCCACACTGACTTATCTAAAAACTTATCTAATGCTTGGTCACAGTATTTCCACAATGTATAGCACTCCACTGTTTTCACCTTCCTGATTTTCTCAATTTAAAAACGAGTTTCATACTGGAATAAGATTCAGTACATAAGGATTCTTCACATGAGGTCATTTATAGAAATATTCTTGCTATTAAAAGACAACATGGTCAAAACTAAACTCTTGGTCTTTCTCTCTGGATTCCAACTCAGTATTACTTCTGATTTTTGGTGGAGCTTCAATCAGTCATGCTTCTTATCAATCATATCTTTAATATCAACTCCTTTCCCCTTTTCCAATTATTTCAACCTTTGTCATGAATTCTACCATTTTTCACTCAATGTCTCTAGAATTCTGTTTTCTTCCTGTCCCATGTCACCTCACCATCTTCATTACTATACTCTTTCTTATAAAAGAATTGCTGCTCTAAGCATATTAATTTTTTCTAGCAAAGCTTCCTCTGGCCCTTCAAGATCTTCCAAATGAATTGTTGTTGTTGTTGTTGTTTTTGTTATTATTATTATTATTATTATTATTATTTCTCTACCAATGTCCTTTATCTAGTCTTTCTAGTCCCCGTCATTTTCTTTATACAACAAATCTTACAGCCTTCTATTTTTTAATACTCTACTTATAAACTCTCTAATGTGACTTAAAGACATTTAAAATATCTCATTATTTGAAAAAATACTTTTTGATTAGAAAAATACTATTTAGGATTTTAAGTTAATGGTATTGAAAAAACAATAATATTTAAAGATAAACAAGGATCCTTTTTTCAAAGTAGAAAAATATATTTTAGATAGATCAAAGTGTACATTAAAAATTTTTGAAAGTATAATCTTAGACCCTCCTAAACATTGTATCAATGAAAGAAAGAAATTTTGGGGAGTTTTTCTATATATTTTAAAACTCATAAATAAAAATAGATCATAACACTATGAATAATATGGAAAACATATGACAAACCAGGAAAATTATTTGGAGCACAGAAAAAAGAGTGAATATTCTTAATACATTAAGAGCTCATACAAATTAATAATAAAATAACACTTCAATAGGAAAATGGGATAGGCCATGAAGAGAAAAAGCAAAAAAGAAGTAATGGCCACTGGACATAATTTTTTAATGTTCAGCCTCATCAGCAATTTGATATACTAAATAGAACAGCAGTTAGATATCAAGGCTTTTTTTACTATAAAATAGTCAAAGATAAGTTTTAAAGTAATAATATCCAGGGTTGTTCAGTTTAGGGAAATGACATTCTTAAATACTATTAATGGGAGTATACATTCATATGTTTTTTCTAGAGAGCAATTTGACAATGTGTCTGAAGGACTAAATTGTATTTCCATTTGAACCAGAAATTCTATTCTTATGCATGTAGCATAAGGGCATAATTACAGAGAGCAAAGTTTTAGTAGCAAAAATGCTTAATGCTATGGTTTTGTAAAGGATTAAAAGCTAGGATACAACCACAATTGTTTAACAGTGGGAAGCTAATTTAAATAAACAATGACATATCTACTAAATGTGGTAGAAGATATTTAATGTTCAGAATAATGTTGAGAACTGGCTACTTATATAATAAAAGCCTAAGTGACTATTATGGCAGAATGACCAGAACGACCCGTCACTATAACGCGCACTGATAACCAGGGACCAGACGCTCAATGCAGGAGCTGCCCCTTGGTGGTCTGTGCTCTCCCATAGGGGGAAAACCACTCAGTCAGAAGCCAGCTCACAGCTGATAAGCACAACAGCAGTGGTGGTAGCTGTGAACCAAGTGGTAAGGAGCAGTGAGCAGGCGGGTGGTAAGGAACGAGGGCCTAAGCCGGCAGTTGGACATCTCTGAGGGGTCCTGGACTGAAAGAGGGTGCAGGCCAGGCTGAGGGATCCCCCCACCATGCATGAATTTCATGCACTGGGCCTCTAGTAAAGTATAATAAATATTATTATACATTTTGTTATATACACATGCCTATGCAGACATAGAAAAAAGTTGTGAAATATATACATCAAAGTATTAACAGTGGTATTATAAGTGTTTTTAATTTTTTTTACTTATCTGCATTTTAAAATCTTTGTTTTAATCTGTATTTTTTTAAAAACAACAAATACAATTATCACATCATCTGAAAAAACAAAACACCTATCTCCTTTCTTCCACACTCATTTAAAATCTTACTGAATTCAGCCCAGCTGGCATGGCATGGCTCAGTGGTTGAGCATCGACCTATATGAACCAGGAGGTCATGGTTCAATTCCTGGTGAGGGCACAGCCCAGGTTGCAGGCTCTATCCCCAGTGTGGGGCATAAAGGATTCATGCCAATCAATGATTCTCTTTCATCATTGATGTTTCTATCTTCCTCTCCCTTTCACTTTCTCTCTAAAATCAACAAAAAAATATTTAAAAAAATTTTTAAATAAAGTCTTAGTGAATTCAATAGTCTTCCTATAATTTTTATCTCTATAATACCAATGTCTACTGGGAATCATATACAACAACCATTCTGAAGACTTAAAAGTTTTTTTTCACAGTCTGAATTCAAAGGAATAAAGAACAAATTTAAAAGGAACTAAGAAAAAATGAACTAACAAAGAGTGATATTTTAAATGTTCTTTAATTCTTCCACCCCCAAAAATACCTCAGCCTAAATTTTCTTTTTCTCATAGTCTCTTTACCTTTCTTTTTCAAATCCCATCCTCTCACCTTCAAATTTTAAAAAGTTAATAACTTTTTCAGAATTCAAAAAGAGAAAACCTAATTTTAATTATGTATGTTAATTCAAATATGCCAATTATCCTTGAAGTGTCACTCACACACACACCTTCATGTAATAGCCAAGCCTAAAATACATGGGATGGAATGACCAACCACTGAAATCTCAAAGGACGTTTGAATACCATTTAAGCTTTAACAAATAAAAAAGCTGAGGGCAAAATAGAACAGGTGTGACCAGACCCACTCAGATGCCTTAAATGGCTGATCAAATGCCAAACATAATACTTAAAATCCTGAGTGTCAGGGAATTAAGTTGATGGGTTGAGGCTCATAATTATATGAAAATATGTTGAACTTACTGAAAACTTCAAAATTTAGCCCAAGGTTTTTGAGCATCATTTTGTTTTATATAGTTTTTTAGCTTCAAATAAACTTGTAATTAACAAAAGAGAGGGAAAGTGGAAAAAAAACAACACAATTAAATATCTTGTCTTTACAATATGTATCATAGGTCATATTTATATATTTTCCCATGTCTGGCTTTTAAGGAATAAACTACATAGTGATCACATTTCATAAAGAAGAGACATGAAAATTTTAAATTCTTAAAATAAAAACTTATATTGCTCTAGACTCCCTGTGTCCTTAATCGGTAGCCACTGCCCTGAACAGTTTCAAGAGATGAGTTGTAGTGAATATCAAATATTCAGGCAAATATTGAGTTTGGATAATGGAAGTTCATAAGGCATTACTGTTTTGGAACAAATATTGAGAACAAAGATCTTGCTTTAACTATAATGGGACCTAAATTCCTTATTCATTGTAAGTCCCAGGTTTTTGTAACTAATTGTAATCATTTCTAGAAAAAGAAATTACTTAGATCCTGGGGCATATAAATGCATTTGCTTACTCTCTCTTTCTTTATCAAGTTCATGTTGGAGTAATTAGTTAACCAGGAGGACAATGGTTACTCTGCAACAGGAATGCAATGCCATTCACACGTGCTTTGTCTTGCAGTTGTCAAACAGGCAAAATCCCTATGAAGATCAGTATTTGCATGATCAACTCAGAATCCATGTATTTTTTTTCACACAGTCACTGCCTTTTGCTCAAACAAGAAACCTTTGTGTTCTTACAGATTATAAAATGTGGCTCACTAACAGGAGGACTCATATTTCTAAAATTTTAATTCTTTGAAAGTCATTGTTAGGATGAATGATTCTCTCCTTGTGCCTCCCTTTACACTGAGCTATAATTGCTACATCAATCAGCAGAAAGAAGCTGAAGTATACCTCTGTGCCCTATGCTCCAAAGATAGGATGCCTAGGATGACAGAACTTAAAACTGGGCCAGAAATTAAAGCACTGATATGCCAATGCAGAATATTTTTAAACCATGTTCCAAGTCTTTAGACCTTTAGAATAAATACCTGGAAAATATTGAACTGCACATTTTATCTACTATACTTTATTGAATCTCAGATATTATTATTTTATGTACCAATAAGAAAGAAAAAAAATGCCCTAACCTGTTTGGTTCAGTGGATAGAGCATCGGCCTGCGGACTCAAGGGTCCCAGGTTTGATTCCAGTCAAGGGCATGTACTTTGGTTGCGGGCACATCCCCAGTGGGGAGTGTGCAGGAGGCAGCTGATTGATGTTTCTCTCATGGATGTTTCTAACTCTATCCCTCTCCCCTCCTCTCTGTAAAAAATCAGTAAAATATATTTAAAAAAAGAAAGAAAAAAATAATGCTGATTACTATTTTAAGACACAATCAGTTGCAAGATAAATCCTAATGTCAGAGATGTTAAAAATATGAAAGATTTGTGCTTTAGCAACTGACAAAATATAATTTCCAGCACTGTGCCAGGATCAACCTACTGAAGTTCCTGCTTCAGAGGAGTTAACTGAATCCTGTGCGCAAATAAGCATCTTTCCTCATTGAAAGGCTCATCAAAATTCTACCCGCTGTGATGTTTTATTCCCTTTTCTCTGTTTAATTTAATCACATAATATGAATATATGTTTCCAAATGTGAACATCCAATGTTTTTCTTTTTGCACTTGAAGAAAATAATTCTCACTTCTTTTACTTACTCAGGTGAGCATGGCTCAATATTGCAGCGTCTTCGCTTTTCAGGTGGCTTAGTGTCAGGGTCACAGTAATTGTCCTGGACAGTAGAGCTATCATCCACTCTTTTGCAGACCACCTCCTGTTTTTGGAAACCTTGAGAAAAGGAGAACATAATGAATTGAAGAGTAGTTTACCTTCCAATAAGTTAGGTATGCACAGCTTTCCTCTGTGAGGAATCAACCTCACTGGATCGCTGCTGTCTTTTCTGTTCCAAAAGCACTTGACTGCTTCTCTAAAAAGGGAGAGAAGTCCTGGTCATTATACTGCACATTTAGGCAAAATTATTGTTCTCATGTTTAGTAACATAACTGTTTTCAAGTTCAGAAAAGAAACTATTGGTGATTTTAAATAATTAGCAGTCCCATGTGTATAATCTTCTTCATGCTTTCCTTAAAAAAGAAAAAAAAATCTTCATTGCCCCAAATATCATCAGATAAAATGTGTGAATATCCATTTCAATGCAAAACAATGGCTGTATATCTATTTTAAAACAAAACAATAGGGGTGCATTTACGTTTTGATATTTTGTAGGACAAATCCAATTAATTTAGTCTTTGTTAGAAGCGCATGATATTCACACATTTCATTCTTTTCTTCCATTTATATATTTGTTTTTCAAACAGCCCACAAAGTCTAGAATTTAAAGATCGCAGAGAACTTTTGGACTACAACCCATTAATCTACTTTAAAGGAGTTGGGCCCATTGATTATACCATTGTTAAACAGATGCATACATATTCCATAAAATCTGAACTTACAAAAATACTTATCTCATTCTTAAAAACTCTTATAAATGTTTGCCATAGCTAAAACATTCTCATTATAAAATATGTACAATTCTAAGTATGATTGTTATTTATTGGCAAAGACATCCAACCACAACTCGCTCATATGTCACAAAGTACAAAGACATACACAACACACAGACACACTCTGATTTGTGAACATCCCTGGTCAATAGACTTTATGCAGGCTCAAAAAGAAGAATCAAAAGAAGCAAAGATAAGTCTATCAAAATGTCAGAGAAAAGGTCAAACGACAAGAAAAGATTTCAGTTGATATAGAGGTAGCAGGTTGCTCCTGGAATTGGAATAAAAGCAGACGAAGCTATCCCCCTACTCACCACCCTGTCTCAATAACCAGGTAGGAGCATGAGCAGTACCTAGGAAATCACAGCTTCACACCTAGCTAGCCTCACACAAACCTCCAGTTTTGCCTTTTTTCTATTACTTTTAGTAGTAGCCTAAAGAAAAGAGTTTAATAGCAAATTAGGAAAATCAATGTGAAATAGGATCGTTCAGTAAAGGAAACTGTCACCGAAAGAGCTGCATACCAAATGCTCCCCACAGGACCCTTAAAAGTCATGGACTTGTGAGGTGGGAGTGCCTCCATCATGTTTTGCACACTTTTAACCAAGTTGAATTTAAAGATAAGAAATCCCCTGATCAGGAAAACTGTTAAGTGCTGTCGTCTCTGGTGGCGATCAATTGAAGAAGGTGTATTTTATTATTTGCACTGACCCCAGGCTCTCACTGATGACCTTCAACAAGTTTTTAGGCTCTCCTAAATTTAGAGGTTTAAAACACAGCCAAATGACTTACTGACAAAATGTCTTAGAGTATGCGTTGTATTCATTCCCTCCCAACTCCTAAAATAGGCCAAACATCTCAGTTTATGGGATAACAGTTTGGAATTTTTTAACTATTAAACTTTAGATTTTGGGGGGAAGAATGATTCACATCCAGGCGTAGCTGTGATCCATTCACAGATGTTTCACAATATTCATCAGATATCTCCCTGTTATGTCATTCCAGTGGGCAGATATCTAACTAAGTCCATCTGATCTACCTAGACAAAAACCTCTACCATTAGTCACAGGATTCAACTGCCAACTGCTACAGTGAGTGGCTCAGAGTATCCATACACCCGGGTTCAAGTTCCTATCAGGGAGAGCAAGGGGCTATTTTTATTGGTTAGCATGGCTCTTTTTATTCCAGTCATTCAAACATGATTATACTTAGAGTAACATTTTTACCCAATATTTATAAATATGTTTAATCATAATTACAATGTGATTATACTTGCAAGAAGAAAGTTGGCATTCAGCTTAGTATCTTGCTTGTTTTTCAGAAAAGGATACTACAAAATGGAACTGACGTTGCTCTGTATCCATGGCAGTAACATTAATTTGGTTTCTTCAGGTTAAGATAAAAGTCTACTTCCTTTAAATTAATCCTAGACATGTTGTTTGGTTATAATTACATTAATTTTTAAAGTAGCCTTTAATGTAAAAGCAAGGCTTCTGTAATTTCTATCACAGATGAGATGTTAGCTACGAGAGGTGAAATTTGTATTTCATTTTAAGATAGATTTTAGCCATGTATTTGAAAATAGTTAGCTATATAACATTGTTAAAAATTTGAAAAATACACAAAACCAGAAAGAACAAAATAAAAATTATCCACAATTTTATATCTTTGTTGTAGACGTTTCTTTTTAAGGCTATTTTGCATAAAATACTTTTGGGAAAAAAATTAAGCACAAAATAGTTTCTGGTGGGATCCAGTGATTAAAGTTATGTAGTACATAAACCAAAAATGCCAGCTAAATGTGGTCAGCAGGTCATTCATTCATTCATTCATTCACACAGAATAGTTATTAATACAAGGCCCTGTTCTTCTTATGAGATATTTGACTAAGTGCTAAGAATTACAAATAGACTTAATTTTGGTCATGCCCCTCTGACTTCTTAAAAACTAAGAATTAGGGAATTTTGAGGTGTATTTCAGTTTCATAATTTTAGAATACTACCTTGAATAAACAGCTGAAATTACTCCATATTATATGAAGGCGCATTTTTCTTCACATTCATCTTTTATTAATTTTCTTCTAAAATGTTATATTAGACAGTGTGGTATTTCACACTCAAGAACTGACTATACTAGTAATCTATTCCAAATATTTCCACAACAATGAAATATCTCCCTCCAACAGCACAGAAGTTTCCTTCCAACTTTTACCCTCACACTTGGTGGGTTTACAGAATTTTTTTCTTGTTAAGTGAATAGCAACAGGATAACTTTCTAAACCAATGTACCTAATTGGACAGATTTTTAATCACATACTTTTGGATTAAGAAAAATGCAGCATTTAACTTTAGAAAGTAGAAAATACAGATCAACTAGAAATAATATAAACTAAGTCAACAAGAGAAATGATTGAGTTTAGAATCTTTATATTACCAAGCCTCTTGTACACAGTTTCTAGTAATCTGTAAAACATTGCTAAGAAGTTTATTTAAACCCTGTTGGGTATAATTACATCCAGTTACACAAAGTCACTATGCTTTTAAATCTGAAGACTTATAGTTTGTACCCAAAAACATAAAATGTCCACATGACCAGTCCATATACACCTAATTGAAAACAAAATTCTAGTGGCTTTTAGTGTCCATATCCCCTCGAGATATGCAGATGTTCTGCAGAATTTAATTAGTCAAATTTTAAACTGCACTAATTATATTTATCCTTAAATACCTAATGGTACTGGTAGCAAACTCTATACCTATTCTTTTGTTAAATGCAGTACCTCTTCTATGGTTAAAAAATTAGTGGTTTCATATTATAAAATTTAAGTACAAAAATGCCATTAGCAATACAGGGCATATATTAGCAATACTTTAAAATCTCTAAAATGGGTATATCTTATGTAGAGACTTTTACTTTACTTATATTTAAAGAATCAAATATGATGGCTCTTAACATGGAAACATAAGCCTTACTTTCAGTCTAAAAATTTAAATTTGTCAGATCTTATATTTAACTTTTTGCCAATAGCTAAAAGTTACAGATGATCCATTTGTCCATCAAAGGTTCTCTTGTCTAATGGGAGAGAGAAGTACTCAACTTGAATCACTGTCCTAAGCTACACATCAAGAAATGGCTTTAATATTTTGGAACAATTGAGTCCTGGATGAACTCCTTCACCTGCTGTACTTGCTCTAGGTTTATGCGATGATTCCCGTGAAGAGCACGGGATGTTTGCTTAGCAGCCACAGTCCTAGGGCCAAGCCCAAATGAGCACTTGAGACTACAGCTCCTCTTCATTTCTCATCTCCATTTCAGTCCCTCCTCTACTCCCCTTGCAAGCTGCTTAATGTCCTCATGTCCCATCTCTCTCTCTTAATTTTATAAATTCATGTATAATCCTTTTAGCAATATGTTGCTTTTTTCAGGGCAGTTCACTATTTTAAAAGTGGAAAGAGAGTACTCAATACACAGAAATTACCACTTGAATTTTACTAGAAAGAGTGACTA